TACTTAAGGAAATGTTAGCTGTATTTGGCATGCACTTCGATTATGATTGGCCTGTGTATATTTTTTCTCTTAGAAAAATTCAAAAAGGGAAAAAAGAAAGAAAAAGAAAAAAGTGAGCCACTTGTGCACTTCGCAACTTGCTCAGTGCACGCAGCAATCCTCTTACACATTTTTATTTTTAAAACAAGTATAATTTGAGGATAGAAAATTAAAAACTATAAAAAAAAATGTTATAGTTTTTTTTTTTTAAACAGTGTAAAATTCTTTTTTTTTTTTGAGGAAGGGGGAAAGGGGTTTGAGATTTGATCCCAATTTTTTTAGTTCTAAGCACGTCATGCAGGGGTGACTATTTGTACCACCAAGTGCTGGGCAAAAAATGTTATAGTTTAAATTTTAATTATTATTAAAATATTAAATACACATACTAAATGACTTGTAACGCCTAATGCTATTATACTTATTTATGCCCTATATTATATAGAAAAAACAAATCTCTAAAAGTTGCGCATTAATTTCCCAACAATGTTAAAGTAGTCTTTCATCCCCTTTACTTCTTTTAAACTATTCCTTTTCTCTTCTTTCCGACTAAACAAATTGAAACTTGACGCTTGTAGTTTTAGCTACCTTTACTTTCGGACGGGGTGGGCCTAGGCTAGTCAATCCACAGCCCAAGGATTAATTAGCCTGACCCGAACCCGCCAAATGAACCTCTCGGTTGCCTGAACTTCGCCTGAACCCCAAAAACCTCCCACCGTAACATCTTCTCCGGTCTTTTTTGAGTGGGGAAAGACAATCGGAGAAAATGTCGGGTTTCCCATTGTCTTCTTCTTCCTCTACTCAATCCTCGTCATCATCCCCTTTCTCCTCCTCCTCAAACCCTAGCTCCTCTGCCCCTTTCGCCTCTTCGTTCAGTATATCCTCCCCCTCCTCCGGCCCTAGCTTAGGACTATCCATCTCCTCCTCATCTTCAGCCACTCCGTTCTCTTCCTTTTCTTTTGGGGTTAGCTCCGGTCAGTCTACATCGAGTTTTACTTCGCCCCTCTTTCGTTCATCTTCATCTTCCTCAAGCTCCATGGCTGCCCCTTCTGCATCTACTTCACCTTCCCCACTGTTTGGTGCGGTCACTACCGCATCAAGTTCGGCGTTGCTGCTGGTTGGTGCTGCTTCGTCGGCAGTGGGTACAGGTTCATCACTGTTTGGAGCGTCGTCATCTAATACAAATTCATCGCCTAAGTTCGGAGTTACCGCTTGCCACCGGTTTATTGTTTCCATTTTACAGTTGCACC